TACGATCCAGAACATACAGAGAATTCCTGTGATTCGACCACCGCCACCACCACCAGCACAACAGAAAGCCAAACGGCTCGAATCAGAAATGAGCAAAGGGCTTGAACAGACATTTCTCCAAAGAAGATCTGTGAGTGGCCAATAAACACAGGAAAAGATGCCCAGCACCACTAATCACTGGGGAAAATGCAAATCAAAACCACCATGATGCAGATGGGGGTTCAGCTCAGTGGTAGAGTGTGTGCTTAGCATGTACAGGGTCCTGGGTTCGATCCCTGGTAACTCCACAAAAAATAAATAAATAAAGCGGACTTCTTAAAAAAGAAAAGAAAAGAAAAAGAAAAAAAACATGATATAATGAAAAAGAATTTGAAAACAAATATGTGTACATGTATGTCTACATCTGACTGAAACATGCCATATGCCAGAAATTGACACAACATTGTAAACTGATTATACTTCAACTTAAAAAAATTTTTAATAATTAAAAAAAAACCACAATGAAATACAATATCACACTCATTAAGATGGCTACTCTCAAAAAATAGGAAATGACAAGCTTTGGCAAGGATGTGGAGACACTGGAAGTCTTGGACACTGTTGGTGGAAAGGTATAAGGTACAGCCATAGAGGAAAACAATCTGGCAGTTTCGGAAAAAATGCAGTCTAGAATTACCATACGATCCAACAATTCCACTGCCAGGTGTGTAACCAACAGAATTGAAAGAAGGATTTTGAAGAGATAGACTGTGTTTATAGGAACATTATTCATAAGAGCTAAAATGTGGAAGTAACGCAAGTGTCTATCGACAGGGGAACGAATAAATGAAATGTGGTCCAGCCATACAATGGACTATTACTCAGCCTTAAAAAGGAAGGAATTTCCAGCACCCGTGCCAAGGTGGATGAACCCTGAGGACGTGACGCTCAGTGAAAGAAGCCAGTCAGAAGAGAACGAATGCTGTCTGACTTCACTTCTTGGAGGTCCCTTAGAGGAGTCAGAGTCATAGACAGAAAGTAGAATGGTGGGGGCCGGGGGCTGGGGGAGGAGGTGTTTTTACAAGATGAAAAGAGTTCTGAAGATGGATGAAATGTAGGGAACAAGGCTTGGCTGGGGCATGGGAAGTTCTCTGGGACACAAACCTCCTGCCCCCTTGGCTCCAAGAGAAGGAGCAACTCCCACTGTCAGTGCCAGCCATGGGTGGGGTGGGAGGCGTCCGACCTCTTCCTTCCAGCCGAGCAGGACCCAGAGCCCCCGGGCACCTGCTGCAGCCAGATGGTGACCAAAGTGTCACTGCTCAATAAGAATGTGGATGATCATGGACTAGGGAGGGAGAGAAGGAGAGATGGACAGAGGAAGCAAGAAGGGCAGAGAGGGAAGGAGAGAGGCACGCAGAGTGAGAGAGCGTGCTCAGGGCCACCAACCCACGAACTACCACCCCGAGCTCGACAGACTCTAGCAAACAGCAGCGGGAAGTCTGTAACCATCCGTTGTCTGCAACCAGGCCCACTCCCATCCTCCAGGGCCGCTGGGCTCTCACCACCTTCACACTGGACCCTAGCGACCCCCAAATCCTTCCAATAACTGTGGATCCCCACAGTTATGATTGAGTCAGACTTCACAACAGACCGACCCTGAGCGCAGACACATACAGATCTACACAGCAGCTGGAAGCGCCTCCCCACCAGTTGCCAGAACACAGCTGGACTCCAGAGAAATAAACCCGACCCTCCTCTACAGCCAGACTCCTGGAAAACCACCCGACAGCAGACCCTCCCGGGCCCCTTCCCTGAAGCAGCATCTTCTAAGACCTCAGCCAACCATCCTGACCCTCCCGCGCCCCACCCCCACATCCACAGAGGGCTGCAGCCTCCCAGAAGGACCGACACTCCAGGGTCCTTTCCAGGGTACATGGAGCCTATTCTTTTTCATCCCATTAGTGACGACCAGGTGACAGCTAGCTGGACATCAGCCATCAACAGCTGCACCATGTATGGGACCAGGGGCCAGGTGTGGGGGGTGACACCCGCAGAAGGAGCAGAGACACACAACAGGAGGTCTGGGTCACAGAGATGGGAGGAAAGGCGAAGATGGAGGTGAGGGGAGAGGTGGGCTGCAGGGAGAAGGGGGCTGCAGGAGGGACCCCAAAACAGATGTCAGTATGGGGAACTGAAGCCTGATGCTCACACACGGCTCCATGGGGCCTGCTCCTGGATGCCTTCTCCGCCAGGCAGCCTTCCTTGCCCCTTCCCCAGGGCAATGCCCTTCTTGGTCCCCCTCAGGGCAACATTATCGGGGGAGACTGAGAGGAGGTGGAGGGGGCCCTCCAATGAGGGGAAAAGCCCCTTCTCCCTCACCCCCACCAGCCAGAGAGCAGGGGCTTTGGATGGGGAAACAGAGTGGCAGAAGGAGAGAGGCACAGGTCATGGTCACACCCAGAGAAACCCCAGGAGCCACAGATCTCCAGAACCAGGGACCCAGAGAGAGAGCAGAGACAGGGAGAGGGGCACAGAAAGAGCTGGAACCAGGGGGGAACGCTGGAAGAGAGGGCAAAGGCTCAGAGACAGTGCGGGAGAGGGAGACTGTCCAGAGAGATAGGGGCTGCGATGGGCAGGGGGAGGTGGTCCGGGTGGGGGGTTCCCGAGCCCCCTCCCCATCCCCTGGACATCAGGCAGCCTAGCTGGGCCTCTCCCTGCCTGCGAGGCTCACCTCCGGGTGGCTGTCTCCCCGGCGAGTCCAGCGTGAGCCACATCAGCCGCGTGGGGCCTCACACTCCTCCGCGGTGGAGTCACCAGCGCTTCCGTAGAGGCGACACCCCGGCCCCCCCTGCAGTTCGTGGCTTTCCCCGTAGGACTGCGCCCCCCGCCCCCAACCTGGTGTCGGCCCAGGGAGCAGGTGCTGTGGGCTGGCTGGGGCCCAGGGTGGGTCACGAGGGAGCAAAGAGCCCCACCAGGAGGGCACACAGGAGAGGGACCGGCTACTCTAGCCACTAGGGGCCCAGGAAGGGGCCAAAGCTACAGCCTTTCATTCCAACCCTTTAAAACCCTTCGGGATAGATCCAGGGGAGGGTATAAATCAGCAGTAGAGTGCATGCTTAGCATGCATGCGGTCCTGGGTTCCATCTCCTGTACCTCCATTAAACCAACCAACCAACCAAACCTAATTACATCCCCCTCCAAAAAATAAATAGATAATAATTTAAAAAAACAACTTCTGGATAGATCAACGGGGCAAAGGGAAGAGGGTCCTTTCTCTTCTTACATGGGGGACACTCTCCTGCTCAAATACCTTCTGTGGCCCCCATTGCCTTTCAGATCTTCTAATTCCTTGCTCTGGACACACCCCTCTCTGTCCAGCCTACCCATTATAGGAAACTGTGGCACAGAACACGTAAGTAAAGGGCCCCCGGGAGAAAGTGATCTAAATCTTTAACTACAGTATAAGTTACCTGAGTGCACATCAGCAAACCGGGATGGAAGGCATCCCAGGCAGATGGAACAGTCCATGCAAAGGCTCAGAGGAAAGGATCAACATTTATATGTTTGGGGAACTCTGGAAAGAGGTGGAGGGACTTGATCAGAGGTGCTTGTAGGAAAGGTCCCATACGTGGCCCCTGGGGCTGCTGAACAGACTGCAGGGGGCCTGGAGGTGGGGAAGAGCCTGAGGCACACTCCCGCAGGCTGTGGTGGGTCCCAGAGCCCGGCGGATTTCAGGAAGCATCACCACGCGGTGGGATCCAGCGGGTCTTGATTTGGGAACAGCGGCACCTGGTGGTCCCGGCGTGGGACTGCACCCTCCTTCCTTTAATACATTTTTTGCGAGCCCCGCGGAGTTCCCGGTGTATTCAAGTATTTTAAAACTCCTTCATCTATAAAATAAGTTCACTTCAAGCAATAATCATGTAATGAACCAAGTCATAATAATGGCTGTAAGAGAAATTCAGACGGTGAATATTTGACTAGTATTTGATGTAAATACCTGTCCAGTAACTACATGAATTTTAATAAAACAGAACTAGCAGCAAACAGTATACAGTTCGGGAAGCCACAAAGTCGAAGCACCCGTGTGCCGCTTAATTTTCCTTCTTTACTCTTTAGTGTTAAAACAAGGGACAACAAAAGGTTGCATAGGCCTTAAATCTTACAATTTTCTTTTTCGACTATTTCTCAATAAAGCTGAAAAAATCAGATGAAGTAAATAAAAAACAAGTTTCCATCTTAAAGATATCATTCAAGTTCAGCACTACAGTCCATGTATGAGCTACTATTTACACTTGCCAACAAAAAAGATTATAACTCATAATTTGCAATGTTTTGCTGGGTTTTTTTACATTTTTTATTGATTCATAATCATTTTACAGTGTTGTGTCAAATTCCAGTGTTCAGCACTGTTTTGCTGTTTTAATAAACACAATAAAATCTCCAAGCAGTCATAGAGAACACAGAAGAATATAAAATAATAAAATTATTGTTATTATTTGCTACCTGAGTGACTACTAAGTGTCCAACTTTGTTCTAATCACTTTACACATAATAACCTCCTTTCATCCTCACCCCAGCGTGTGAAGCAGACACCATTATTACCCCATTTTACAGATGAGGAAACTAAGACACAAGGATCAAGGTCATGGCTCAAGATTACACAGCAAGGAAGTGATGGAATTGGATTTGAACCCAGGCCAACTCCCTGCAGGTTGCGTGTTCTGGACATACTGACCTAGAATTGGTGTCAAAAGAACGGTGATCAGGGACCACTTCCTTGAGAATATGGAAGTTTAAAAAGTAGAGGAAGGGCATTTTAGTCAGAGGGAATAGCAGCACAACTTCTATGTCCAGTCACAGACATAGAAAACTTATGGTTAGCAGAGGGGAAGGGGGTGGGAAAGGATAAATCAGGAGTTTGAGATTTGCAGATACTAACTACTATATATAAAATAAACAATAAGCTTATACTGTATAGCACAGGGAACTATATTCAATATCTTGTAGTAACTTATAATGAAAAAGAATATGAAAACCAATATATGTATGTACATGTATGTCTGAAAAATTATTGTTATTATACCAGAAATTGACACATTGTAAACAGACTATGTGGCAATTTTAAAAATTATAATAATCCATCCTTTCAAAAAGCAGCAACATAGTGTCCAGCATAGGGTCATAAATTACTAGAAAAAAATAAGTACATGGTAGGTGCTCAATAAATACTTCCTGAATTTAAAAAAAATAAACATTGTATAATATCCTCCTGAAGGCCTCTTCCAGGAGTCAAGTTTCTATTCAAGCTGACCTTAAATGCTGCAGTTACGCAGAAACCAAGCCAGACGTACAGAGAGCAGTCTCAGGTACAATTCAGTGCATATCACGGTAGCACTGAACTGTGATCAAAGGTAAGCATGCCTGTGGTCGTAATTCCAGGCTCGGGGGGAACGCCTCTTTCTAACACACCCTGCACCCTTGTCTTGGAACTGGACCAGTTCTGGTTTGTCCCACACGTCAACACCTGCCCAGGGTAGGTTGCTCTCACCCTGACCGACTCGAGGTTCTATTGCTACAGCTTTGAACTCTGAACCCTAAGTATCCACATCCAGAGAGAGCAGTTAGTGATTATTACAAGAATCGCCAAAAGAGCCTACTGCCTGATGCTGTCTGAAGCAGCCCTTGTCTAATTTTCCAGGAGTCTGGCTCATTGGAACTGTTTCTGGTCTCTTGATGTTTCCCCATAATGGGATGTTACCTCTTCCTCTCGGTCTATGCCAGCTCCTAGCTGCCCCTGCCAACATTCCCTCCAGTCTTCATGCCAGCTTGACATCAGAAGTACCTACAGCTGATCACAGCCACTGGCTTTGGGTGATCTAAGGGAGATTCCTCTTTGCATGACAGGCCAGTTCACACTCTAAGCCAGTCACACATTTTGCTATGTGGTGCAAGAAGAGTGCAAACTTTTCCTCTGGGTTGTGGAATTTTTGTCAAACCATGTCTTCAGGGAGCTCGTCACAGAAGCTCCAACAATGTGAGAGCCATCTTTGGGGTGGCAGAATCTCAGGGAAGGCATTGCATCTTGTGCGGGACCTGCGAGCAATCAGGTAAGGATGCAGAGATCACACACGGGTGGTCTGGGGGAAATTAAGAAAACTGAACTGCTTCCCAGCCAAGGGTTGGCCCCTGGGAAGGTGGGTAAAAGCGAGGGTTCAGCGGGCAGGAACTCGGGCCAAGAAGCAAGCATGAGAACGCAGGCCCTGGGAATTTGCAGGCATCTCAGGGAGGGCACTGGGCTTCCCGCAGGTCGTGGGAGAGAGGCAAGCGCCAAATCTCCGAGGCCTGAGTAACCCTGGCTGACATCTGGATAACATCTCATACAAAGGAGCCTGTCCCTGCCAGAGAGCACTAACCCCGGCAAGGCTTTCAAACACCCAGCAGGGTTTTTTAAAAGAGCTTTAGAGAGATTCTTTCACAACAACAAACTTACCAACAGCCACCCAGCTGGACACACCCCAAGACACACAGGTCCAGCACCCATAATAATAACCTGTTTCATGTGTGTGCAGGATGCACCAGGCACTGTTACCATCACTTTACACATAGTAATTCCTATAATTCTTATAAGTCCTTGGAGTCAATGCTATTATCATCCCCAAGGCAGGCAGGGGGAACTGCTCCAACCCCTCCAACTCCCCTCACAGAGCGCCCCACGACCTGCCCGCATCCCCTCCCTGTGCTCCCCTCCCCCACTCTCTTGTGACACGCCCTCTCCTCACTGTTCTGCGAACTCACCAAGTAAATTACTGCCTCAGGGCCTTTGCACATGCTCTTCCAGAGAGGCTCTCCCGGCTGAAGCACTGGTCACCTCCTTCCATTCTTCATCCAAATGTCACCTTCATCAGGAGGCCTCCCAATCTAAAACAGCAACCCCTTCCCCGCGCACACATCCCCAGCACTTGCCACCATTGCGCATACTGTATACTTTTATTTCTTCATCTATATTGTTGGCCTGCCCCACCAGAGCAGGGATTTGGGTCTGTTTTGTCCCCTGCTATGCCCTGAAGTGGCTGGAATTGTGCATAGCACACAGTGGGTACTCAAGTGTCTGTGGAATGAATGAAACCACAATGAAAGAGGACATGCAGGCAGGGAGAAACTGGGCGACTCACCCAAAGCCCACAATCCTTAGGTGGCAGAAGCCGGATTCAAGAGCAGACAATTGAACTCCCAGATGTCCCAGTCACTGTGCTCCTTTTCCCTGAACACATCCCTGTGCACAGCCACACACACACACCACGGCTGACACGGACACATTCATAAATGCACGCAACAGCTTCCAGCCAAGAGCAACTGCATGGCCTTGCCCACAGGCACATCCCATTACTCAGGCCCACCCTCAGCCCCACCCTCAGCCCCCAGGCTTCTGGTCCCCAGTTCTCACCTCCTCAAGACCCCAGACTAGCCCTTGGTCTACACCCTGGAGAATGTGCGCTCAGCCTCCTATTGCCCCAGACTGCTGTGGTACCAGGGCGTCCGCACCAGGACCGGCAGTGGCCACCCGCCTGGGATCCGAGCTGGTAGTGGCCAGGTCCAACGCCTCGCGCTGAGGAGGGAAGCCCTGGGAGAGTTACTCAGGTGGCCAAGGACGCAGCCATACAAATCGCCTTCCCAGCTCCTGGGCCTTCTCAATCGGCTGTGTCCCCATAGCACCCCCACTGCGGCGCTCTTAGGGTGCGTGATGCACCACTGTCTTTATGTCCATTCCCCCATGAACTCGGGGCCTCATCCCAGCCCGTTCCCCCTGATTCTCCAGCCTCCAGGACTGATGCAGGTAGCCACGCACCGTGGCACAGCCTCCTTTTACCCCCTGCTCCCACGTTGCCTCCCATCCTGCCTTGGAGCCCGGATCCCTTCAGGCTCCACCCTCAACCCGAGACCCGCGCCCTCCCAGGTGCACCATCACCTTCCAGGACGGGTGCACAGGGTTAGCACCATCACTGAAGCTTTAAAGGAAGAGCCCCGGACCTTGAGGACCGCGCCTCCTAGACCTCCTCCCAGGCCCCGCCCTCCGGCCCCGCCCAGTCGTCTCCCGCTTTCTAGTGCGATGCACGTGGTCGAGCACCACTGCTTGGCGTCCTTCAGCCTCCAGGGCATCTCCTGTTCTTCAGCCGCTCTCGGACCCTCCCAGGCCCCACTCCTGCCCACCCCGCGTTCTGCCCCACAACTTCCACCCGTGGCACACGGATCGCGCCCCACTTCCTGCGCAGAGTGCAGGCATCCGTCCCTGTGGCGCAGGTAGAACTCCGCGGGTGCCGCTGCGCTGGTGCTGGACCGGGAAGGGGTTGGGAGCGCACGTGGTGCGGCCTGAGAGCTCCTTGCCGCCCCGCGAGCGCAGGGCCTGGCGCAGCCGGAAGGGCGCACGGGTCTTGCCCGCCGGGTGAAGTGCTCCCTGGCCTCTGCGCGCGATGCTGCCGAGGACCAGGGGCAGGTGCGGATCCCGCATTGCCGCCGCCTCCCCGCGCACGGTATGCACCCCTGAGCCTCGCTGGATCCTCAGGGTCAGAGGGGACTTTGAAGCATGTCAAGACCTCGACACCCCCTTCCTGAACCCCATCCCTCTGGGCCGCAGTGGCGGCGTGCCTCGGAGCCGATTCAATGGCAGAGAACCCGATTTCAGCCAGAGGAGCCCCGGTCTGCTGGGCTCAGATCAGGGACCCCCCTCCTCTCCAAACCTACCTCTGACTTTTTAGAGACCTTATATGGAACTCCCAGAGGACTCCCACTGGTCCCCATGTCCCAGTCCCTGGAACCATACATGCCCTGAATAAACATGTGCTGATTTCTTACTGTGTTTTAGACCCGATGCTGGAGTTAACAGGATGAAGCAATCATAGTCTCTGCCCTCCTAAATCTAATACTCTAGGGGAGAGAGGGGAGTGCGATGGACAAGGAAGAGACGAAAATAATAATGACAGACTGAGGTAAGCACCACCAAATAAATGAACAGGCAATAGTAAAAGGCTGGTAGTTGTAGCTGAGGTGTCATCTTCTCTGAAAAGGTAGCATTTGAACTCAGCTCTGAAGGATGATGGACCTCACCGTTCAGAAAGCCAAGGGAGAACATAGCAGGGGGGGGGCTGCACATGCAAAGGTCCTGAGGCTGAAGCACATTTTGCCATCCAGGGCCTTGCACCTCAGCCTTCCTTCCTTCCCCTCCACTGACTCTTCCTCCTCAGCCTTAGAGATTCTGCATCGTCCTGACAATCCCTTTCTTGCCCTGCCTCTTCCTCACCCCCTGCCCCTCCATCACGGATAAGTTTCTACAAAGCATGAGATAATCTTCATCAACAGGAGATTGGAATGAGATGTGGGATTGAGCATTGGGAGGGAAGCAGGCCTCTATTCGTAGGAGGAAAACAGGAAGTTTGTAGGATCCTATCTGAGGGGTCAGTGACTAAAGGTACTTGAATATCCAAATAGGTATCTAGCAAGACAGATAACTTGAAATTGTCTGCCTTCCAGTTTCTGGGGTTGAGAGTGATGCTTTAGGTTTGATTACACAGATGTCTGCATTTCTTAAAATTCAAGGAATGTACACAGAAGACTTGTCTGTTTCTTACACGGCAAGGTCACTCTCCTCCCCAGCAACAAAGAAACAAAATATTGAGCTCTAGGTAGTGATGTCCATGCTGAAGTGTTTTGAGGGCACAGGTACTGATTGCTGCATCCAAAAAATAACACAGGTTGATGAAGGGGTAGAGGGTGGGAGGGAGGGAGTGATATGTGATAAAGTAAATAGAACAACACGTTAATTGTCAAATCTAAGGCTGGGCAGGCCGCCAGTGTACCATTCTCTCCATTTTTCTGTATGTTTTAAAGTTGGTATAATGTTGAGAAAATGTGTCTTCCCACAGCAGCTGCCAGTCATTTTTCTGTTCAAGTGGGCCCAGCAAGGCTTCCCTTAGTCGGAGAAGGGTCCTTGAGGGTCTTTCTCAGTCCTTCAAGTGTGAAGAGAGTATTAGGAAGCTGTTGTAGATTGAGATGGGCTGTTGGTCCCCTGGGTGCTGGAGGAAAGGTGGGAGGGAGGGAGGGAGTTGGGGCCACGGGGAAGATACAGGACTGGGAGTTAGATGAGGTCTGAGTGGCTAAAGGCAGAAGCAGCATCTTCTTTCTAACCACATCTGCCACTTAAAAAGTGGCAAAGGATGCTGTACACCTGAAACTAACACAGCATTGTAAATCAACCATACTTCAATTTTTTTAAATTGGGCAAAAGATCTGAATAGACATTTCTCCACAGAACATATACAAACAGCCAACATGAAAAGATGTTCAACATCCCTAATCATTAAGGAAATGCAAATTAAAACCACAGTGATAAATCACTTCACACCCACTGGGGTGGCTAGAATCAAAAAGGTGGATAATTACAAGTGTCGGCAAGAATGCAGAGAAATCATAACCCTCTTACACTGCCGTTGGGAATGTAAAATGGTGCAGCCACCTGAGAGGGAGTTTGGCAGTTCCTCAAAATGTTAAGCATAGAGTTTCCATATGTCCTGGAAATTCCACTCCTAGGTATATACCAAAAAGAATTGAACTTGGGTAGTAAAGCTCATACTTGTACAAAAATGTTCATAGCAGCATTACTAACAAGAGCCAAAGGTAGAAATAACCCAATGCCCATCAGTGGATGAATAGATAAAATGTGCTATATATCCAATGGAATATCAGCCACAAAAATAAATATAATACTAATAAATACCACACGTGGATGACATCAAAAACATTATACTAAGTCAAAGAAGCCAGTCACAAAAGCTCATATATTGTATGATTCCATTTATAGGAAATATCTAGAATAGGCAGCTCTAAAGAGATGGAAAGTGTAGGGCTAGAGGATGGATGGAAACGGAGTGATTACTAACCAGTACAGGCATTCTTATAAGGGTGATGAAAATGTTCAAAAATCAGAGAGTGGTGATGGTTGCCCAACTCCATGAATTGTACACTTTAAATGGGTGGATTGCATGGTATGTGAACTATATCCCAAAGCTGTTAAAAGAAAAAAAAAAAAGAGAGAGATGTGAATGGCAAGACTCCTAGATAAACAACAAGGTCCTACCGTATAGCACGGGAAACTAGATTCAATATCTTAAAATAACCTATAATGAAAAGGTGTATATCTGTATAACTGAATCACTATGCTGTACACCAGAAATGAACAGATTGTAAATCAAATATATTTCCATTTAAAATAAATAATTTTTAATGGAGAATGTTTATACAATTAAGAAAGCAAAAAGGCAACCTACAGAATGTCAGAAAATATTGGTAAATCATAAATCTGATAAGCGATTAATACTTAGAATAATGAACTTCAACAATCCAACAACAACAGCAAAAGCAATTTAACTGGTCAAAGAACTCGAACAAGTATTTCTCCAAAGAAGATCTACAAATGACCAGTAAGCACACAAAAAGATGTATCACGTCATTAGTGGTTAGGGAAATGCAAATCAAAACCACACTGAGATACACTTCACACCTACTCAGATGGCTATTCAAAAAAAAGAAGAAGAAAATAACAAGCATTGGCAAGAACGTGGAGAAACTGGAACCCTCGTGTGTTGCTGGTGAGACTACATAACACAGCAGCTGCTGTGAAAAATAGTTAAACGGTTCTTAAAAAAATTAAACTGAGAGTTAACTATATGACGCAGCAATTCTACTCTTGGTAATATACCCGGAAGAACAGAAAGTAAGGACTTAAACAGATATTTGTACATGACTGTTCATAGCAGCATGATTCACAATAACCAAAAGGTGGAAATGACCCAAGTGTCCAACGATGGATAAATGGGTAAATAAAGTGTGGTCCATCCATACAATGGATTACTAGTCAGCCTCTAACAAGAATGAACTTCTGACACACACTGCATCAAGTATAAAACTTGAAAACATGGAAAACAGACGTAAAAGGACACACACTGTATGACTCCACTTATATGAGGTCCCCAAAAGAGTCAGATTCACAAAAACAGAAAGTAGGACAGTGGGGGACCGGGGGCGGGGGAGGGGTGGGGAGTGAGTGTTTCGTGGGGACAGAGTTCCTGCTTAGGATGATGAACAAATTCTGGAGATGGATGGTGGCGATGGTGGCATGACCTTGAGGATGTACATAACACCACCGAATTGTAAGCTGAAAAATGGTCAATTTCATGTTACATAATTTTACAATTAAAAAAAATTTTAAGAGCCTACCGCCTACCATAGCTCCCTCCAGCCTACTTCATGGAATCTAAACTCCTCCAGCCCTCTGCTCCGGCCAGCCTGGGCTCCTCGCCTCTCACTGTCTCCCATCCTCCTCATATTCCCAAATCTGTCAGCCCTGCCTTGCAGACTCACAGACCTGCTTCCCCTTGAAAAGCTGGGGCAAGGCGGCGTGGTGGGGCTGTCCTGGGACCGGGGACAAGGCGGGCGTTGCTAAGCAAGCTGGTCTTGGGGCAGGAAACTGAGGCAGGAAACTATCCTTAGCAGTTAGACGCTCTTCCCAAAGGCAGCCACAGATGCAGCTGGAGAAACCAGAGGTGGGGGAAGGCAGAGGCGGAGGCGGGAGCAGGGGGCTGACCTTCGGAGTCTAGTCCAGGACCTGAGGTCAAGGTGTCCCAGAGGCGACGCATTTCCTCTGCGTTCTCAACTTTCCTCAGCTTCCCGGTCACACTGGCGGTAACAATGACAACAGTAGTAATAAAACAGCCCGGGGGGCAGCCAGCCCTGCCTCTGCCTCCGCTCCCCTGTGCCTTTCTAGACTGCGCCCATGAGGACACACAGGGATGAGGCCTGGGGTGACCGAATCCCTGGGGCTCCCACAGCCGGATGCCGGAAGAGGCCAGAGCGGGTGCGCAGAATGTCGAAGGTGAAAGGCCAAAGGGCGGCCACGCTGGAGCGGCCGCAGGAGAGGGCTGGGCAGAGGCCTGGCAGCCGGACTGAGGGGCCAGGCCAGCAGTGCATGTTTACGTTCGGAAGAGCAGGGCCAATCTGCCGCCTCCCACTGCGACCCTGGACTGGGGGAGGGGGGCCTCCACGTGGGGGATCAGATGTTTCTCTCCTGAGCTAATCTCTGGGCTTCATCCCAGGGGGACTCCGCAGCCTTCCCAGAAGACACGCCCACCTCCGAGAACCCCCCCCACCCCCCACAAGACATCAAGAGACATTATTCAGGTCAAGAATCCTGCCTCTCCGCCCATCCCCCCGGAGCCCTGAGCATCCCCACAAGCCCCGCCCCCAGCCCTGCCTGGGCTGCCCCCATCCAGCCTCGCACTGAACTTCTAATTTGGCTGCCCAGAGTTTGCAACCCCACTGGGCCACCCCAGAGAGAGCCGTGGGACGCCAGCCTTGTTCTCAGTGCCCAGGTCCTGGGAAGAAGAGGAGGAGGAGGAAGAGGAGAAAAGCTTTGATGATTGGCCAGCAGTCTCTGCCTGAAATTCCACCATTCAAGTTTCCCCTTTGGGTGATGGCAGTGCAACCTTTATCTGTTCCAGAAACCTCCTTGGTCCCCCAAAAATGCTTCAGAGGGAAAAAAAATGCCAAGGGGGCACACAGGTTCCAGAGAGCTGTGCAAAGCACATGAGCATAAAAGGCTCTGAGAAGATCTGCACCGAATGGCCCCACTCAGCTCCGCTTAATCCCCACGCTTGGCCCCAGTTCCATGCAAGTACTCTGGGCATCCAAGGCCCCAATTAAATGCCCACTGTGACAGCCCAGAGGCGCAAGGGGGGCCGTCAGGCTGCAGAGGGAGTAAATCAATTAGGGTGGACCCGGAGGGAGGGGATGTGGGGGACACAAGTCTACACGTCACCCTCAGTCAGAGACCAGAAATGTCCCCAGGGCACTGGTAGAGGGCTCAGCCCTCTGCCACAGCTTTACTCCTCGTTCTGGCTCCCAGCTGTCTGATCAAACCCTGAGTCTTCCATCCAAGACTTCAAATGCCCCCAGAGCTGTGTTTCCTGCTCCCCACCCCCAGCCATGGTGGGGGCCACCGTGCCCATCAACAGAGCTCTAACAGAGACACCACGGGCATCGTCACCAAATGACCATGTGCTTATGTTATAAAGATCAGTGACCACAGTTAGACTTTCACAAGCACGATGCTTCCCTGACAGTGATGGACACTTTCGTGTATTATTCTTGACACCAGGAGGACAGCAGGTGAGGACTGGAATCATGGATCCAACGTGATCCATCATGGGACAGTTAGCAGCTGTGTGATGCCAGAGCGGTGAAATAACTAGCCAGATCTCATCTGGAAAATGCGACCAGTTCATCACTGCTGAGCTTGGGAATTCTATGAGATACAGAACTCAGCGCCTGGCCTGCTCCTGGGCTATTCCAACCTTCCTTGGAGTCTTTTGTCCCACCCCTGCCCACAGCCCTACAGGGCTCCCACCTCCCTTGGGGTAAAGGCCCAAGTCCTTCCCAAGGCCCATAGGGCCCTGCACAACCTGTCCCCTCCCCTCCCCTTCTCCCTCTCTCCCCCTCTCCCCCTCTCTCACTCAGCTCCAGCCACATGAGCCTCTTTATGATACTAAACCAAGTCAGGCACAGTCCAACCTCAGGGCCTTTGCACAGGAACACTCTTCCCCCAGATCTTCCGCACTTCCATCAGGTCCCGTTCAAATGTCATCTCCTCCAAAAAGCCACCCATGATAAAACAGACCCCCTGGACTGGGTTGTACAGGGTCCCCCCAGAATTCACATCCACCCAGAACCTGTGAATGTGACTTTGTTTGGAAATAAAGTCTTTACAGATGTCATCAAGTTAACATGGGGACAGGCGGAGGGTGTGTATAGCTCAGTGGCAGAGCATGTGCTTAGCATGCACAAGGTCTTGGGTTCAATCCTCAGTATCTCCATTTTTTAAAAAAAGTTAACATGAGGCCATACGGGGTGCTAAATCCAATATGGCCAGCATCCTCATAAAAAGAAGGAAATTGGATACAGACACACAAGGAAGAAGGCCACGTGATGATGGAGGCAGCGATTGGAGCAATGTATCTATAAACCAAGGAACTGGCAGGATTGCAGGCAACCCCAGAAGCTAGGGAGAGGCAAGGGAAGCGTTTTTCCCTGGACCCTTCAGGAAGAGCATCGCCCTGCTGACACTGCGACTTTGGACTTCTGGCCCCCTGAGCTGTGAGAAAATAAATTTCCTTTAGCTAGGGCCACCCCAGGAAACTAACATATCCCCACCTTGTCTCTTCATTCCTCAACCCAGCACTTCCGTTTCTTCTCAGCACTTGTGTCCACCTGAAATAGCACACCATCAGTCCTCACCACCCACGATCGCGTAACTACGAATTCACCTCCTCACTAAAACGTACATGTAACCCCTGCGTCATCACCAGTGGGACTCTCTCTCGGACACGCATGGACGGAATTGTGGCACCCAAGGGTGCATGGTCCCAGTGAAGGTCAAAGACAGGCAACCCTCTGTCTCTTTCTTCCAGATCCTGCACCGTGAACCAGGGTCCCTTTTGAGGTCTGTATTGCCACACTTTTCATGCTTTTGTGCTTCTGGTTGGCGATTTTGCTGTTGAAAAGGACCCCGAGTGTAGCGCTGAAGTCACCTGGCGCTCCTAAGTCAAGGATGGGACAGTGGGAGAAAACATGTGTTAGGTGAGCTTAGTTTAGATGGGAGTCACAGAGCTGCCAGCCGAAAGTTCAATGAGGAGTGAATCCACAGTGCACATGAATGAAGGGTCTTTCAACGGAAACACACATCACGCAAGGTTATGTACTGATCAGTGGATGAAAACGCTGTGGCTTCTAATTCAGGCTTGGAGGAGACCAAACTCCTGGCAATGGCCAAGCCATGGGGTTTTCAAGGAGAAAAGGAGGTGGCAGGTGGACAGCTTGGCTGGATGGGGGACACACAGGCCAGGGGATAGTCAAGTACTTGGTTCTGGGAGGGGTCTGTCCAGCTCAAGCTGGAAGGCCAGCTGAGCCACTCAGGTCACACTGTTACATGCTACGTGTGAATTCTAGCAATATACTAGCCTGAGTCTCCGGGTCCCCACTTGCCAATGGCTGGTGCTGGGAGAGCCCGTGGGGCAGGATTTAAAATGTGCATTGATGCTTGGCTGATGACGAGGTGTTTCGAATTATCAAGCCTCTTCTTTCATTCAAGCAACAGCCAATGTGTCAGCTTCCACTGTCTTAGAGAGAAGCTGTCTCAGTGAAAGATAAGAAAGAAAGGAAGGAAGGAATGAAGGAAGGAAGGAAGGAAGGAAGGAAGGAAGGAAGGAAGGGAGGAAGGAAGGAAGGAAGGGAAAGAAAAAGGTTTTTGTATGTCTAAAGTCAGGATACCAAAAGAATTAACAACCCCAGGCTGGGAGAGACACGGCTCCCCGTGGATGCAGTGTGGATAGAAGCCAGCTCAGGCTTGGACCAGTGGTTCTCACCCATCCAACTTTACCTCCCACCCCAGGGGACACTGGGCAGTGTCTGGAGATGATTTTGGTTGTCAGAATTGGGGGTGCTACCGGCATCTGGTGGGCAGAGGCCAGAGATGCCGTCAAATATCCTATGATGCATATGACACCCCCCCTGCCCTCACCAACCAAGAACTCTCCAGTTCAAAATGTCAGTAGTGCTAAGGGTGAGAAAGGCTAGATGCCAGCAGCACCTCCCCCAGGTGTGACAATAAAAATATCCCCAGAGGTCACCTGGGAAGCAGAACTGCCCCTGCTTGAGGACCCCTGCCTTAAGCCTACACTTTAGGATGCAACTGGAAGTCATCAGCTTGGAGACGTCAGGCTGCTGCAGCCTCAGAATAATCTGAGCCTGAAACATTGAATTAGTAATAATAATCAGTGTTATGACAACATGGCTCTGTAGCACCTACTATATGCCAGGCACCCTAGGTCTATTCCTTCACTTAATCCTCGCAAGGACCTTGTGATTAAACCCACTTGTAAATGCAGAATTACAAGCACAGGGAGGTGGCATGACTTGCCCAAGGTCACACAGTGGTCAAGTGGTAGAGCTAGGATATTAATCCCGATTGCCCAGCTCCAGAGTCTCCACTTTCTAAGCATCGTGTTTGCCTGATTGCACAGTGGTGCTGCCAGGGTTGCAGGGGTGACGCTGGGAGATAGGTAAGAAAAGGGTAAAAGCTCTAGATATACAGGTGGCACCTAAGGACCCTCCATCCCAGGAGTCTCAGAGCCTAATGGCTCAGCAAGGTTTTATTAGGCACTTACTGTGTGCTCCATGCCCTGGCCATGAAGAGAGTAACAAAGCTGGTCTTGAGTTGTCAGAGACATCTTTCTCAGCCTCTCATCCAACAGCCAGGAGCTGAGCACCTATTAAGTGTCAATATTTGCATTTGCACTTAACAGATGCACAAACTAGGCTCAGAGAGGTCAAACAACTTACCAGGAACACAAGGCAGTTAAGCAGGATTTGGGAGGGTCCTCCCTCCACCTCCAGAGCCCCCCCTACCACAGGCCCCTCCTGGGGATCATCAGTATTTTGTTTTCCCAAATCACAGCCCTGTTGAACCATCCTTGCCTTCCCAGGGTCTCAGGACCAGTGCATACACATACTTTCTGTAGAGGTTTCTCTGCTCCTGGGGCCAAGGATGCAGCCTCTGGGGCTGGCCATGGTGGCAGGAGAAGCAGGAGGCAGGAGGACAGCCACTGATCTGGATGAGCCAGGGGTAGCATGGAGATCCAGACACGGCATGATAAGAAAGGCAGCCACATTTGAATTTTAGGTCAAAGTCCCAAAATGCTGGGCTCGGGGAAAACTGGTGGCCACAGGCTCTGGGGGTGGCAAAGGGGGAAAGCTGAGACTTGTCTGTTTCAGCAGCAGAGGGGAAACTGAGGCCAGCCCTCGGAGTATCTCTCTGAGATCAGGAGTGATATTCCCAACAGGAGGGCCTAAACCAGGGAAGGGGGGAGGGGACCTGTGTGTGCTGGGATACGGGGGGGGGGGTTGGGGGAGGGGAGAACCTCCAGAGTTCATTGGAAACTGAGGGGGAAGGAGGGAGGATTGGGTTGCATTTGTCTGGCAGACTTTGGGGGTGTTGGGTTGCTAGGTTTTCCCCCCAGCTCTATTGAGATATAACTGACATATCACATTGTGTATGTTTTAGGCATACAACTGTAATAACGTGATACAAT